AAAAAAAGAGAGAAAGATTCTATCCGTATTAATTCTGATTTAAAAGTCAATGTTAATGAGCCTAAGATTATTTCGCTTTTTCATCCAGAATTGAATAACATTAAAAAACTGCATCGAAGTATTTCTTGTACAGTAAAGGTTTCAGTTTTACGCTGATTACTCCGCATGATAGTCTCCGCTGTATCGTTACTTAATATTATTTGTGCAGGTTGGAAAAAAAAGGACGAAGCAAGGAAATTTGACAATGATTAGAAATGCAAAAAAATCACGGAAGAGAAAAAGGAATGACTCTGGAAATCCAAAATGTATGATGCGTCCCTGCATTATTATTTATCATGGTTTGCATCCTTTCTAGGCACATGACTAGCAACGGGCATAGAAACGGGAGCCACCAAGAAGCAGTTGACCATCAATACTTACGCGAGAGCCATGATTCCATACGGCCAGGAGCGGATCTCCAGCCTCTTCCGGCTCTTGACTTCGTCCAGGGTCAACACCATCCCACTATCTGACTCACATTCCTACAGAAGAGGAGGAAGAAGAGACTCAGCACGTACTTCTGAAGGCTTCTCCTTCAAAAGCGGAGGCTGGTCTGGTACCTCCACGAGCATCATTTCAGAGAGGAGAAGACCTCTCTACCTTCCCAGGCTTTTAACTGGCTTTTTCCTGCATTTTAATTGTATTACACTGTTTTAGTTTTTGAAAGCCTGCCTTGCCACTACCTAGCTTATATGGTGCTTTTTATTTTGCATATTACAGGGGGTCCCCAGTTTAAGAATGAGTTCCATTTCCAAGGTCTGTCCTTAAGTTGAATTTATATATGAGCCGGAACCGTATTATTGTATAACGCGGTATAAGTAGTATTGCGTAATCAGCTCGAACCATTGTGTATTTAACTCAAATCATTGTGTATTTAACTTGAATTTTGCTACAATAGGCTCCATTCTTAACTATGGGTTATCTGTAATGCTATCGTATACGTTTTTATTTAAAGTATTAAAGCGTGTTTTATTGCAACCACTCAGAGAGCATTGGCTACTGGGTGGTTTTGAAAATTTAAATAAGAAATAAATAAAATAAGTGGAGCATCAAATAGACCAGAGGTTTTGTGCACCATCTTGAGCCTTGGGTTCATCAAAAATGGCCAACAAGATTGCCACCAAATATTGTATGTTTAGCAGTGGGGGTTTTCTGGGGGGGGGGAGAAAATCAAGACCCTGCATATGGTCAGCAAACCTATCCCTATCTGTCTCTGATTTGCATGGAGATTTTTTTTTTTTACAGCGGCAGCACTCTACAGGAATCGTGAGAGATTTAACCTGCTAGGAATCATATTTAATTTTCTGCTTTAAATTCAGAGATATTCTAGGCAGAGCAATGGCTAATCTCCCCCCCCCCAGCCATCTGGCTTGCATCTGGCTACTGCTTCATTTAATTCCACTTCTGCTTCGCGCTTAGCTTGTAAATTACCTTTTATGAGGAGGGTGCTTTAAAAGACAAAAATGGATGAAGTTTAAAAATCCATATAAAATGAATGTACCCAGATGGTCTGGTGGGGGGTGAGTTATGAAAAGGAAGGAGAAGGAGAAGGAGAAGGAGAAGGAGAAGGAGAAGGAGAAGGAGAAGGAG